TGACACGTCCTCAAACATTAATTCAAATCAAAATCGTGAGACTACCACCTCAACATATTGATAAAGTGACAATGTGCTCAAAATCTTACTGCAAAAACAAATATATGGTCTGCCAATAAATGCACGCCAGACAAAGTGACATACAAACTACAAAAATTAAATGTGATATATTGTTTTTAAACTGATTTATCTAAACACTTAAGTGCAATGAATAATAGTGATCAGTCCAATCCAACAATGTTTCAATAATCCATGTACACTTGCTTGTGATCTCAGTGACACTCTAGTGAGACTTATCCCTCAGTGGCTAAAATGCCTCCTCACCTCCCAACATCGACCCCACAGGGTCACAGCACTGAGTATTCCCACACAAGATAACGTCCCATAAGCTGGCTCCACCGGCTCCACAATTTCAATAGGGCTCCACTCCTAGTATAGTTCACTCCAAGATGCCCTTACACACATACGGACTCAGGCATGTAAGGAAGGTAGAATAAAAAGGACCTCCATAGTGAAATACCGCTTTTAATAACAAACGCCAAAACAAATGAACACTCACATTAATCTCATAACAATCCAGCAGTTCCCATATGCTATGGGTGTACAGGAAGATCTAGGTGTTCCAAGATGGCGTCCGAAACCGGAAGTGCGTCTCCGCTGCTACTGAAAATGCGTCACTGCGCATGTGCGCTACGCGTTACACGATTCCTCAGGATATCGCATTGGGTGACAGGGACTGGCATTTATAGGCTAGTACGATTAGGGGCGTGAACTAAGCCTCCATTTTATTGTAGCTCAAATGCCTATACAGCGGTGTGGACTTATTCCTTACTCATCCTATCCCATCAATGTGCAACCTTAGAATTATCCATGGAAAAATAAAGGTCCACAATAAAAATCTATACACTAAATTAAAAATACTAATTAAAATACGATAATTTATTAAAGAAGGAAAACTAAAGTAAATCTTAAGAACAAAATCTGATTAAAATTAAAATTTAATCAATTTTTTTATAAAAAACTTTATATGAAAAAATGGGGGATATTACGTGTTAATATATTATATAAACACATAAATCCACACTCATATATAAAATTACATCAATAAAATATAAATCTCCAGCAATGGAAGCTAGTGTGGACAAATTTATATTCATACAAATCTCCCTAATCACACCCATAACATATGTTTACTACTCATATATATATATATATATATATATATATATATATATATATATATATATATATATATATATATATATATATATATATATATATATATATATATATATATATATATACACAGTATATATATATATATATATATATATATATATATATAATTTTTTTTTTTTAAATAAAATTTAATAACAATCCATAAAATAGCCAAGTGGAACTAAAAATCACTAATAAAACAGTTGAGGTCGAATTCTCTGTTTAATCCTCTAGGTGTCATTGTCTGCATTTTAAAAATCCACCTCGACTCAGCTTGACTGTTCTTATCTTGTGACTTCCTCTCCAATGTTTAATATTTCTCTATACCCCAGAAAACTAATCCTGATGGGACTTTGTTATGGTGGCTAGCGAAATGTTTAGATAAGCTGTGTTTAGGGTAACTATTCTTTGTTTTATACTTTATCGTAACTTTATCCATAAAGGCCTTTTCGTGCGTCCCACGTATTGCAGGCCACAGCTACATTCCAATGCATAGACTACACCTTCTGTTTTGCATGTAATAAAATCTTTAATATCAAAGGATTCCCCATTACTGTTCAATGTGAATGAATTCCTTTTCTTCTGCCCTCTAGTGGCTTTACATACGCAACATCTTTTACAAGAGAAAAAAACCTTTAAAATCAAACAGTGGTTGACTTATTTTTAATTTGCGGATCCAAAACATTTTTAGCCACTGAATCCCTAAGTGTAGGGGCTTTTCTATAAATGAATTTAGGTTGATCCGGCAGCATACTACTTAATAAGGGGTCAGTCTTCAATATTGGCCAGTGTTTTTTGTAAATATTCTGAATCTTCTTATATTGCAAATTATAATCAAGAATGATGGCTAATTGATTCACTTGATGAGTATCTTTAATCTTGACTTTATCTTGAAGTAATTTTCTTTCCATATTAGCTACTTTAATCCTATTCTTTCAGATCAGATGAAGAATAACCTTTTTTAGCTAAAAATCTACCTGCTATTAATTTAGCTTGAATATTAAACTCGTCCATAGTTGTGCAGTTCCTCCTTAATCTGATGAACTGTCCTTTAGGGATATTGCATAACCACGGTTGATAGTGACAACTATCCACCGGGATGTATCCATTTCTATCCACCTCCTTAAAGTGGGTTCTCGTTCTAATTCCAATTTCCTCAATATTAATTTCTAAATCCAGAAACTGAATGGATTGACAGCTAAATCTCCATGTAAATCTGATATTCTTAGTATTGTTATTCAATTGATCAAGAGAACTTTTTTTTTAATTTGGTTTCATCACCTTTCCATTTATTGGCAGACCATATATTTTGTTTTTGCACTAAGATTTTGAGCACATTGTCACTTTATCAATATGTTGAGGTGTGGTAGTCTCACGATTTTGATTTGAATTAATGTTTGAGCACGTGTCACTATTTTAAATTATAGATTTTATATTTAGCACATGTCACTTTATGGTTGGAGTTTTGTTATTCACTAATTTGATATCTATAATTGATATATTTGCTTAGCACTTCAATTTCTGTAGTCCAAGGATGTTGGTTCAGAGGAAAAAAGGATTGTATCTGAGCTTTTTGCCAAGGTTGTAAAAGCACGGGCTTTGGCCTTTGGGGACCCATACAAGGCATCTTTTTCCTGGGACATATTGAAGACTGGATACTTGGCTGTTGCTGGACAAAGGGACTGAAATTTCCACTCTCCAGTATCAATTAACATTGTCTCTACAATCAACAATGAACCATTAGGAAAACCCATTATCCTATCCCGGGAGTCTGTGACATTCCCAACACCATTGACCCAGACTAGGTGATTATTGATGGGGCTACACCAGTTCTTGTTTCCCCTCAGTCCCTTTTAATTGCCACTGGCAGCAAGATGGATTCCCCCTCTTGATAGCAGACCAGATTTTTGTCGATTTATGCTAAGTGATCCATTCTCCTCTCCCATGGTATGTCTGATCAGATGGGGGATGAGAAGAAAAACCCATAACTTCATGGCTCAAAAAGGAGCACAACATTTTAGTTTGTTCTTGACTCCACAGAATAGCTTCAGTTGGTTCATGTATCTCTTATCTTATCATGTATCTTTTAATCTCTTTGCCCTCTTTTGGCAATTTATATACTGAAGGACTTAATTTGTAAATAATGGGAAAATTTGTGGCTTAAGCTGTTGTCCAGGGGATGGAATTATAAGAACATAACTCTATCTCCTACAGCCCAAGTACATTCTTGGATCACTTTGCCAAAATACGCTTTTGTTTTCTTTTTGATTCTTACCCATTTATGCCGCTGCAAATATATGGATCTCCTTTACCGCTTTTTCTAGTTTTATGAGCTATTGGTCCATTGAAAGTCTGTCTATGGTAGGTAGATTCTGGATGAAATAAAGCAGACTTATGAAATCCCTGAGGAAGACATGTGAATGTGTATTGCTTCCCCAAAAATGTAAATGCAAATTTGTATTGACATTCTTCTGAAATATATGAAATATTTGATTTGGATTCAACATGCTTAAGACATCCGGGACAGATGCAACTGTGAGGGCACAATTGTTAGTAACACTGTTTAATTTAATTGGCAATTGATTGGTAATCATCCTGAATTATCAATGTTTGCAAATCTCTGCCATATTGGCACATTTGTTGTGGATACACATGGTTTGAAGACCCTTTGGTCTTGCAGTGAATCTATCGTTTCCTGAATGTAACTGATAGCTTCCTGTGGAAAGGGATATTGCTTTTGCGGAGCTGAATCTGGCCCATTGATGTGAATTTGTCTACCTTTCCACAGTCATGCTTATGCATTGCAAAAGCTCCCTGCTGTCTGTCTATCATGATCTGCATGATCTTTTATGGTTTGTAAGATGTCATGTGGAATCCTTACACTTGATAGCTGCAATTGTGTGTGAATCGGGTATCACTATGGTGCTAGCATAATTGTTTGGAACCCCTTGCCATAGTAACTGATTGGCCAAGTCCAAAATACATCCATTAGGCATTAAGAAGTCTGACCCCAGGAGGCTGGTTTCATTTGGCAACGACATTAATGCAAGTGGCTGTTTTACTGATTAAATATCCAATTTGGATTGTCGGTGGTTTAAACAAAGCTGACTCAACAGTGTGCCCAGTGAAGCTCTGGAGATTTAATGGCTTTTCTGAAGATAATGTTGATTTTAGTGGGTCTTTGTCATGCAGAATGGAAATGGCAGCCCCTATATCTAAAACCATAGTACATTGACAGCCCCTAATCAATGCGGACACTTGGAGGCACCCGCACCTATCCAGAGAAATTATGGGGCTTTGTAATTGTCAACATTGAAGACCTTCAGCCTATGTCTGGGGTTTTACTTTTGTTTCCTTTTCAGGGCATACTTGCAATGCCTGTAATTGTTGCTGTAATGCTGCATTAGTAGGGGCTCTTTGTGTCTCACTGATCTGCTTGCCTTCTGATGAATGGCTATGAAGGTTTCCTCTTCTCATGCCTCTATAGGCTGACTTTTTGTCAGGGATCCGGGTATGACCAGAAATGTGTGGGAACACAGGTGTAGTCCAGGGCTGGAGAGGTGGAATGGTCAGGCAGGCCATTTGGTACTGTTAAGCACCGCCTGGCGGCATCTCTAGCAGCCCACAGCGCGGGGTTCCTCAGGGCGCGGGGTCTAAGTCCCAATCTGCTTATTCACCAGGGCCCCTGATGGTGGGGATAAACTTGGAGCAGACTGAGACCAAGTCACGACCCCGAGTACATCTGGCAATGGTAGAGAGCGTCGTCAGAGGTGTGCGGGCAAAGGAGCCTGATGTGAAGAGGCTGGCAGACCTGGTAACAGGGACAGATCCGTGCGGGATGGATGGATCGTCTGAGTAGCGTAGTCAGGCAGGCCAGGTCAGCAACGTGCGGGCAGCGAGGTACCGGAGGAGCAGGCAGAGAATGGTCAGGGTCACAAGCCGGGTTCAGTAACTCACGGGCAGCGCGGTACAGAGGATCAGGCAGAAGGATGGTCAGGCAAGCCAGGGGTTAAACAGGAGACGGTCAGGAACAATGCAGAGGTCGGCAACAGAAGATTCACAGGATACCAGGTACAGGGGCTCATGGAAAACACACCAGGGCACTGATTGCAGGCTGGTCCTGCTTAAATAGACCTCCTGCAATCAGCCTCAGGTGATGGCTTGATTGCAGGAGTGAGACCCTGGCTGCTGAAAATACCCTCTGGTAGGAGCTGGTACTGCAGCCCACAGAGCAAGTGAGCCACAGCACCACCAGTGGTGAGTCCATTCCTGACACTTTTCCCTAATCCCCTCCCCCTCCCTTGTAAACTTTTGTTCTAATTAGGGCTGTATGAAGGATTGGATTCCCCTGGGGTTTGGGGGCCTTCTATGGTGGTAGTTTAACATTGTAATGCCGCCACCTTCTTCAGCAACTGTTTTTTTTTTTGTTTTTTTTCCTGTAAGCCTGTTGTTTTATGATTGGATTGCTTGAAATGATCTATGTATTAATCCGATCACTTCCTCATAGATGTGTTTTCTGGGATCTATCACATTTTACTCGAATAGCCGGATGGGCATTGTGAATCCATACATTTTTATATTGTATATCCTCCCTAGTGGCTTTCCCATTACTAGTGTTATATGCTGCCCACAATCTATTGGCATAAAGTAGAGGGTTTTCCTCCGTATTCTGTTTCATTTGATAGGTAACCATCAAACCTATGGCTGAGGGGTTTATAACCTTCTGAAATTCTGCCTCTGTTAATTTGAAACTCCCTTAGCCTTTCTTAATTAAATCTGGAAGTGCATTCCAGGTGTGGGCATCAAGGGTTAATTGTAACCCCTTAACCTGGTCACTAGGACTTCTCACATCTAGAAGCTCACACCTCTGTTGTACATTTGTTGCATGTGAAGTAATGTGTTCATTAGTTTTAATTTTGCCAATGAAATCAGCCACACTCCTGAGGGTTTTCACAGGCGGAGTAGGGTATATGTTAGATATTAGCTAATTTCCTTCACCGTCAAATCCTAGAAATATTTGGTTGACTTCAGGAGAGGAGACAATCTGGGTCCTAGGCATGATGGGTACTATGTCCGATTCCCCATATGTGGATCTTTGATCCCCATTGTCCTCAGTGCCTATAACAATGGTGAACTCTCTACTTTCCTGTGGGTCAGTGATTTCTCCCATAGCCACAGGAAAAGGAGAATTTGGATCCATATCTTCTTCTCCCCAATACTCATCATAGTTGTCCCCAGTTTCATAGGTGCAGTTGCATTAATGTGTCCTAATCTGTTAGCCATGGCAGCCTGTCCTTTAGGAAATTTATTTGTAGCAGCTGTGCTTCTTTGCACTGTGCATGATCTATAATTTTTTCTTTTTGTTTCCTGTAACTGATCTTGGACTACTTTTTTGCATGTGCTAATTATATGGTCCCGTTCACTCTCAACTTTTGCTAGCATGTCTTTTATATTGTATTACGTTTTTGAGCTCCTTTTGCAATTTTTACTGTTTTCCCTCCTGGGAGGCTTTAACCATTTGAGTAGTTAAGGTTTGTATCTGATTGTGTAAAGCTGTGTTCTGTGCCGAGGAGAAGATTTGCTGCTTGTGCCCAGGATGTGTGCAGTGCGTGGATGGGGGAAAAGGACCTCCTGCTGAGTGCCCTGCCGCAGGTGACCCCTAACCTCTGCTGAGTTCTTCCTACAGTGACCCCTAACCTCTGCCCTGCCAGCAGTGACCCTGTCAGGATTCTAGGTATGACCAGAAGTGTGTGTGGACTGACAAAGGGAAACGCAGGCTTCAGGTATAGTAAACAATATAATTTATTAAGACTACAATACAAAACGCAGTGCAAACAAACCGGGGTACCAGGAGCAGGCAGGAGAATGGTCAGGGTCACAAGCTGGGTTCAGAAACTCACAGGCAGCATGGTACAGAGAAGCAGGCAATAGGATGGTCAGGCAAGCTAGGGTTAACAGGAGATGGTCAGCAGAATCAGGAACAATGCAGAGGTCGGCAACAGGAGACAGGCAGGAGACAGGATACAGGGCACATGGGAAACATACACCAAGGCCCTGAACACAGGCCTGGCCATTCCTTAAATACGCCTGTGTAATCAGCTTCAGGTGATGGCTCATTGCAGGAGTGAGCCTCTGGTTGCTGAGAGCACCCGCTGGCCAGCCCTGGTACTGCAGCCCACAAGGCAGGTGCGTCCCACCACGATTGGTGAGTCCGTTGCTGACAGACCCCTGACCTCTGCCTTTTTGTCTTGCAGCAGTGACTTCTACATTTGCCTTTTCAGAAGTGACCTCCTGTCTTCCTTCCTGCTGACCCCTGTTCTTTGCCCTGCGGACTCCTGTACACTGATCTACAAGTTAATGGCCTCTGTTCCCTGCTTTTCAAAGATGTCTGTAGCCTTTGTCCTCGTGACCCCCCTGTACATTGCCCTGCTGACCTCCCATCCTCTGCCCCCTTGACATTGTTTACTGCACCCCCACATTGGACGGCTAGATCTGGCCCTGCCACAAATTCCGTTTACAAAATGATTAGTATGGTTCAGCTTTAAAATAAGTAGATAAAGCATTGCCCATGTCTATTAAAATATGGTAACAGCAACTTATTTTGCCCTGCAATCTCAATAATACTTTGCTTCAACAACCAGACTTCCACAGTTTTGTGTTTTTTTTTTTTTTTTTTTTTTTTTTTTTTTTAGTGTTCTAACCATGCACAAAAGAACAACTCTCATCTATCTGCAATACATTTTTCACTCTGACAACCATGAGAATCGCTCTTAAAAAAAACTGCATAAATAACACACTATACTGCTGTAGCTTAAACTTATTACAAAAAAAATAAAATGAAATATCATGACTTTTAGTGGCTACCCAATCTGAATACCAACAAAATTGTTAGGTAGTTTTTTTCCAAAGATAACATAAAAAATAAGTCATGTTTTTGTGTAAATAAAAGAAAAAAAAAGGAAAAGAAAAATTAAAAAAAATTGCAAGATTTTTCCCCACACAACAAAGACAACTTTCAGTGCCTTTCCAATAAATACATACTGTATATGAACCAACGATAAAAGCAAAATGCAACAATAATTCAAGAGAAATGAAGCTTGGTAAGCCCAAAAGAAACAAAAGAAAACAACATTTTCCTGCTCCGTATATCCTCCCCATTAAATTGACTGGTTTTTAATGGTTCTTCTAATATACTACTTCAGTATAGTTATGGGATATTTATAAAACAAAAATTCTATGAAGTATCCTCCCTCTTTTAGAATTCTTCTAATATCCACTAAAATGCAAAGGGTACCTGTTTACCTAGATCGGATTGCTGCGACTTGCAAACTGACTCAGTTTAAAACCACCCCAATAACCATAACCTACTTTACACAATTTCTTGGGGTTGTTGTATTACATTCTCTCTCGGGTCCCTTCATGGTCACCAATTTGTTATCCGCACTTTTTATTTTTGAGATTTAATATCTCGACTATGATTTGGTTAATATTAATGGGAGTTCTTTGACCAAGAGTGAGAGGTTTAACACAACAACCAAAATGTATTGGTGAATAGTACGGAGGTATAAACACATGTATTGGTGAATAGTACGGAGGTATAAACTAACACATCGCAATCTATTTTACAATAAAAAAAGGAAAAAAAAAACTTGCAAAATTTAAACAAAGGAATTACAGAATATAATACTCATACCCTTAACCTATAAACAGACACACAACACATAAGACAAGCATGCATACATGTACGTGCCAGAGAGATGTCCTGATATTTACCAATGGTGTAGCATGGGGAAATCAGGATTGTTAGATCTTCTCTCCTGTCTTCCCCCAAAACCTACCCTGATATAGACCTGTCTCTCTTAGACTTGCATGGGGCCATCCTGATTGGTAGAACTATCTAATCCATCTCCTATATCTCACGCATCTCATCCAGGATTGGACAATGATCTCATCCTCTTATATTTATAATAACTCAGCCCCTTACCAGAACCGCCCGTTTTTTTTTAGTGCTAAAATTATGTATGCCAGGTCATGACCTTTGTTTGGAGGGAACATTAGTTACGTGAGGTCATAGTTTAAATCACTTTTGGCGTCTCAATGTCCTATATCACCACTAGTGTAGACCAAAACATGTGATCTTTCATATTCACTTGTCACACTCAGAAAAAAAGGAAAATATAACCCCACACAGTGCATTATCCACAAAATGCTGATAAAATAAAAAAAACGCACTTGCAAAATTAGTGCAAACACCACTCCACCATGTGTCCACTTCAGAACGTCTATAATCTTCACTCTTACCCTCTATTGGCTTGAGCATAGCCTTAAACACATTCCTTCTCCAACTTCCTCCAAAATTCAACCTCCTAATCCATCGTCCTCTTCATAGGAGATACACATCCGAAGAAATAAGATATAGTGTGATATCCTTATAATTGTATGCTCTCTTGTGCTCCTCACCTCTCCAAAAGAAAATTCACCAGTGTCCGTGAATACTCTCCTCCATCTCACAACCCATGCACCTTACCGGACCGTATAAATCCAACAGCATAGATTAACATTGGCTCCTCTCATTCTACAATGTATCCGGCTTCCAAATGGCATCATAACATGGATCAGAATAAATATAGTGTAGAAGGTAATATCAAATGAACCATTTATTAGTAAAATTGTGCTGACAGAATAAAGTGTCTGAGCATGTAAAGAATCTCTTAAGCAACAGCATGGGACAAAAACCACCTTCAAGAAGGCTGCTCCGTAACTTCTGGTTTATGTGCGACGTCACGTCCGGACGCGTTTCGTCACTTCCGACTTCATCAAAGGCTGTGCTTGTTGGACTTGCGGCCAGGTAAATACCTTCACTCCTCCCTGACATGGGTGGGCATGCACCATCTTAGAGAAGGGCAGTACACTGTATGGAGATGCCTACTCTCTAAAGAACACAAAATATATTAGAACCACAATTCCCCTATCGATGTTACTATATAGATATTATGTTGAAAAATGGAAGATCGAGCGCTGGGTTTATAACGTACAATAGCTGCTGGCATAAAAGGTACCTCAGGAACCAATAAA